TTTATATTTTAACACTAGTGTTTCCCAAAACTTTACTACTAGCAAACATTTGCAAACAGCATAACATTTTTTTTTTGCCAATTCAATTAGATCCACTTGTTTGGTAAACAAAGCAATCGTTCATATAATATATCCATGGAAACTTTCTTTAAATTCCATAAGTAAATAAATTGACTCAATGGGCTATAAAATCTGCAGATTTTTGAGCACTCGAATTTCGTGTTGGCTTACCTATTGATCAAATACATATAAAATACAGATGAAATAAAATAACAAATATGTCAATGTTGCTATTAAAAATCAGGGTAATTCCACCCAATATTCCTCCTTTTTTTTTTTGTTAAAAAATTGGTATTGTGATATGCATGTCTGAAAATATGGCATCTTTTTATTATTTTGACAAACTTGAAATGTTTGCTCCAAAAACAAAAAAACATTTATGTTAAATATATGAAGTGCTATCATTATAGCTTGCAGAACAAATAAATATTACGTTTTACTCACTCATAACATAAATACAAATATAAATCATGAGAAACAAGAGTTACTGTGGTTAAGTCATGGTAACCATACCTTGCTAAGCTATTTTTATTTATATTATTTTTCCTCTTTACTAATAGTTATTTTTGTACATTTATATTTTAGTTGTCTATAACCTTGTGTATTGAGATTAAATATATAATAGTTTTATTAGTTAGATGTTTGAACTGATCTGGATGGAAGATCTTTCTTACTCGGGCCGAAGATAAATCGGCGATATATACTTGGCTGTGAGGGTTAGAGAGTGTTGTGGAATGCCCACATGTAAACCTCATACTGTAAAGTTTATTCTGCAGCCCAGATCGCTCTGTAAGCTTTAAATTAACTTAATGAATCAAATGGATAAACTCAGTTGAAGCCTTTGACCGATCATTGAACCTGGGAGACAGGGGAAAGGCCAACAAAAGTAATAGCAAGTATATTTTACTTTTAATTATTTATTTTAGTGGGAATGAAGAGACATTTTTAGTTCTTTTTTCAATCAGTTCATTTCTTCTATTTTGATATCTATCTATCTTCTTGATCCAGGTTACTTTAAACTTGTTTAAATAAAATATTAAACATGTAAATCTTAATCTGTTTTTTAAACTAAATGTGTTTTCTGGTTATTTATATTTTCATAATCATTTAAAATGTTTTGTTTTAATTTTTTAATTAAATTATTATTATCAATATTTTTATTAACTAACGTCCCTGGGCTTGGAAAAAAAAAAAAAGTTTGAAAAATCTCTGGTCCAGTAAATACAATATCAAGTCTGCAGCCAGAACTTTCAATCTTTAATGGAGCAGTTCTTAATCTTTCTTAAAAAAAAAAAAAAAAAAAACGAAAATCGAGCGTTTGTTTAAGAATAGATGCTTCATTAAGATAAAAAGGTAACGTTATAACACATTTGATTTGTGTGGTCAGTGCTGGGTTGGCATTGCACGTGGGCAAAGAGTATATTTGGGCTGTTTCTCAATATGCGTTCTTGTCTGTACTAGTGTCCTCGTGAAACGTCATCAACCGTCGCCAAAGTACTGTTCCAATTCAAAGTTCACATCTTGCCAAGTACAGATGAAATTCCTGGATGTGTACTTGCTCTGCCCCTTTGGCCAAGGATGCATCGAGAGGTGACTTGTGTGAACTTGGTTTTGTCCATATTTAAATGAACGTGTGTAAATGCACGCTTTGATCAAACCTTTTATTCCCCTTGATGATATGGTGCTTTTTTCCCTCAACGTCCTCCAAAGTTTCAATGTTTGGCCGTGTCTGCCATATCTGTTTTTTTTTTTTAAAAAAGAAAAAAAGAATGCATCGGTTCCTGCATGTAGAATTCAGAAATCTCATGGCATTGAAAGAAAACTGGCAGCAGTTGAGTGCCGAGGTCAAAGGTCAGATGAGCAGGCATCACACCTGATCCAAACCTGGGGCAACTGTACAGTAAAAAAAACAAGATTAAGAAATATTGCTTTAATTTTGGAGAAAAAAAAACCTCTTCTGTGTTAAAATTTGATGTTCCTCCAGCGTTCTTACTTCAGTCTTTAATGTCAGGTGATCCTTCAAATGTCAGTGTAAATTGTTGAGTATACCGTTAGTGTTCAGTCGTGTTTTTCATAGTTACCAGTGCTGATGGAGTTTTTTTAGAGCGTCATATTCTGCTGGAAAAGTTTTATTTTAATGGTAATATGCCATAAGCTGATGTGTATGAGTAACTTCACAAGTTGACCATAGTCTAGACCGATGACATGCTCATCTACTCCCAGAACTTGGGAGAACCAAATGTTGCAGCTCGTCCGGTCTTCAATGATGAGCCCAAAAGAGGCCACTTCACAGGGCCGGCCCAAGGCTTAAGAGAACTGAGAGGCAGGACAAGATGCCGGGCTGGACTTGGTTAACTTTAGATTTTACAAAAATCTCATTATTTTGTTTTTCACCTAAAATATTAATTAAAACATCCAAGATGTGTTTTGCCTCATCAAAATGTGGAATTTGATCAGCAAACTACTCGTTCTAAGACAACTATGCCTTCGGATAAATGACTTGGCTTCAAGTACGATGCCAGACGATTCAGAAATAAAGGTACAGACTGCACAAACAGATAAACGACATGATGCATCTCATTTCACCACAACTAAAGGCAGCGACAAAAAAAGTCAAGCTGTCACGATGATGACATTTCTCATGCAACCCTTTAGCAAGATTACATAGTATTTATGCTTCATATATATATATATATATATATATATATATATCCATGGGCTACTGTAAAGTAATATGGCTCTGTCATAACGTTTTGAATAAAAATTCGAATTTGGATAAGACATCTTTAGTATAGTTTTGATTTTAAGGCATAATAAAGATCAAATGCAAGTACGAGTGGATTAACATTGAAAATTTAAAATGCATCAAGAAAACCATGTGCTAAGGAAATTTCAAACCATTTTGAACGCACAGAGACGAGCTTTTGTGCAAAAATGAACTTAAAGGTGCCTTTAAAAAGTGTCAAAGTACTTTTAAAAACAAAAAAAAGCAAACCCCCAATAGGTGGCAGCAAGAGGCCGCTTTATTTGAGTAAAGCATTGAGCGATTTATTCAGCCAAAGAAGCGAATAGGATAAACGGACAGTTGAATCAATCACTGAATCATCGACTCACCCGAGTCTTCTTTGCGAAGGCCTGAATCGTTCGTGTGGGGAAACGTCGCAGTGTATTATTCAGAGATGACCAACTGTTCTGCTGTTTATTGTATTATAATTATCGCAATGATTTTACTACCACTACTATCAATAAAATTATTAATTATAATAATATTGCCGGAAGTTATTCAGCGCATGCGTCACGTGTTCATCATCAGCATCCATGACAACGGTTCTGTGGGTGTTGTTTGAATCCATTGACTGTAAAAAATATGGATGACACGACAGCCCTTTTTCCCATTGAACGCCTTGAGGGCAAAACGCCTGCTTGACGGGCACAAACTGTCGCAAAAGACTGCTGAAATTGGAGCCAGACATGCGCAGAAGGATTGTCTGATGGAGCCAGAGGAGGAGCCGCGAAAATGAGCAGAGTCGAGCTTCCAATCAAACGCTTTATGTAAAATCAACTACGCCCCCCGAACTTCTCAGCATGCGTTTGCTGTCATATCAACACAAATGGATGTAATAATGTTAACAAATATGAGGGTTTTATATATTCAATCGCGCCAGCTCCAGGCCGCAGCGCATAACTTACTCGCGGCGTCGCGGGCTGATTCCGGCTCGCATGCAGCAGCGCCGGCTCGCTCGGCCGCCGCATCTGGCTCGATCGACTCGGGCTGGAATTGGGTAGTTGGAATTGAGTCCAGGCATCCGGAGTAGGTCCAGCAGAGGTAACATTAGTCAGTCTGAGCTCTAAGAGATAAGTCTCCGGCAGGCGAGAATCTAGCCGGAACTGTGTTTTGCTATCTGGGTGGCTAGGCGTGTATCAGCAAACTAATAAACCCGAAAAAAGCCCTGAACTTAGCGAATAAACAGTGTTCCACCAGGATCATGTATGTCAGAAACTATAGTTTACTGCTGAACTCATTTTGTCATGGTAAAATAACACAGAAATCGAATAATAACATTTCAGTCTACTTCAGTCTCCTGCCGAAGCTCAGACGCCGCGCTTTGAGAAACTGTCAATCACAGCTGTCAATCACGATGACACGCCCAGCATTAAATTACTGCTAAAAACAAACTGTTTACAAAAATGAAGATCTGCACCTATTTCAGCACAATAACCAGTGCCTTAATCGACCAGAACTATCTTTCGGGACATTTTATTGCAAGTGTAATATTTTTTTTTTATTTGGGCTCAAGTCTCCTTCATTAACACGGAGGAGGCGGGCTTTATGACTTGTACTGCAGCCAGCCCCCAGGGGGCGATCTAACGGCCGAAACCTTCACTCAAATGTAGGCTTGCGGCACACTTGTTTGAATCTCGCTGTGTCGATTGGCATCTGATCTCTGCGTCCTTCGTGACAATTTTTCCGGATTATCGACATTATTGATCGTTGGATACGTCGATTGATCGCCTGCTGTTCCCATCATTCAGGTTTGACCCTTTTTATTACGCTGTGCTTTGTGTTTGTGTTCAGTATGTCTTGTGTTCACTACAGGTTCCAGAGTCGACTCACCTACGACTCGCTCCAGTTTGAAGGCCTCAACATCACCGCGGGAGAGCTGAAGCGGCAGATCATGAGGAGCAAGAGGCTGAAGTTCTGCCAGCTGAAGATCAGCAACGCCCAATCTGATGAAGGTGAGTTGAGGAAAAGACACTTCAACTGTTCCACACTAACATTAGCTGCGTTATATCAGACACTTCTGGAAGCTGTAAGGTGGTGCTGATGCTGACATGTAGTGATGTTTTGACTGTTTTAAAAGGCTAATGGCAATTATTTGCTGATTCTGATTTTATTTTGCTGTCAGAATACACAGATGATGCTCTCAACCCCTAAAAACATGTCGGTTATCATCAGACGGATCCCTGCGGCGGGACTGAAGTCCTCAAATAGAAGATTTGTTGGGTAAGTGCTGTGAAATGAGCACAAGCGTCCCCTGTTAGATAATATATGAAGACTCCTGGTCTGTCCCTGGTGTTTTAGTCACACAAGCTCCTTTGTTTTGCAGACATCAAGCTGGACGATGGGTTGAATCTTTACCAAGAGGTGAACCTTCACTCCTCTCACTGGAGCAGTTGTTGAAGGTATTGAACAAATGAATAGCAGAATAGCAAAACGCAATGTAAAGCACACAATACACACACACACACACACACACACACACACACTCAGCTTCTTAGTGAGATTTGAGGGTGTTTGAAGGGTTGAGGGTGAAAAAGATTCAAATGTTGCAAATGCTTGTGAAACAGACTGAGAATCTGGCTGAGGCAAAGGCGTCAGAGGAGGACAAGCTGAAAGCGGTGATGTACCAGTCCAGCCTGTGCTACTACTCCAGCAGGTGAGCGTTCAGACACTGACAGGTTTGCTTTGTGAGAAATGTCTGAACTGATTCTCATGGTTCTGATATTCACTAGTGAGGCCATGAAGCTACTTGGGATCCCGGGACACCACATTAGGCACTGCCCCACTAATGTGGTAACTGGGTTTTCCAAGCTCACGGTTGCTGTGAACTTGAGCTCTTGTCCTCATCAGTCAGATTGTTTGCTCAGAGTTTGACTGTCACTCCTCAATTCACAGGGCAGCGGCTCTGCTTCGCACAAGCTCATCCGGAAGAGCACAGGATGTGTTCCCCGCAGCTTCCCCGCAGCTTCCTGTTGGAGGTTGATGACCCAGACCGAAAGGGAGTCATGATAGACGGCAGTGGCAGATACGTCATTCCCATCATAGACGCGTGAGTAAACTGTACTTGGCATAGCCGCATGTTCCAGTGTTTGTCCAAATCTCACATGATGTCTGCTTGTGTGTGTTTGCGCTCGATCTGTTCAGTGAGGCCTATGCTGCTGAGAAGAGAAAGAGGCCGTCCTTCTCCTGCCAGACCGAGCCTTTGCCCTCCTCGTCCTCAGCAGGTGCGGCATCTTCGGTCCGGGACGCCGGAGGGAAACGGTCCCGCTCCCCATCTCCACCAGAGACGCGCGGCGACCAGAAGAGACCACGTCGCTGAGAGATCTTCATCCAAGAGACCTGGAGCCAACGTGTAAATATTGTACATAGTTTATTTATAAAAGATAATAAAGATTATAGCTGCATGAACTATGTGGACTGGTTAACCTTTACTCCAGCAGTGCAACACACACTAATTAATTCATTAACACAATATTATGAAGTTTTGCTTTAATTTAGGAAAAGAAATCCTCTTCTGTGCTAAAATCTGATGTTTTTTCAGCGTTCTTACTCCAGTCTTTAATGTCAGGTGATCCTTTAAATGTCAGTGTAAAGTGTTGAGTATACTATTAGTGCTTAGTCGTGTTTTTCATAGTTACCAGTGCTGATGGAGTTTTTTAAAGCCTCATATTCTGCTTGAAACGTTTCATTTTAATGGTAATGTCCCATAAGCTGAGGTCTTGTGAGTAACTTCACAAGTTGGCCATAGTCTACACAGATGACATGCTCATCTACTCCCAGAACGAAATGTTGCAGCTTGTCTGGTCTTCAATGAGCCCAAGAGAGGCCACGTCACATTTGCATTTGCTAAAATCAGGTTCTGTTATGCAGAGTATTATAAGATTGTGAGTGTGATACCCTGAATATGACATGACATTTATCTTTCAGGTCAATCCTTTTTTCATATTTGGGCCCCAAATTGTGACATTATCGACCCTCTTGAAACCATGATGGTGCATTTAAAGGGTTAATCCTAAAAATAATCAAACATTACTTCAAATTTTGAAAACATTTCATCAGTTTATTTCGCATTTGGTGCTTATTCAAAATCTTTCAGCACTAACACACAGATCATTTAGTTGTAAATACACTATTAAATATTATTAATACAACCTTCTGTCTCGCTACAATCCAACTCGCTCTTTAAGATCTCAAAACTCAGGGCTTCTGGTAGTACCTAGAATAGCAAAATCAAGTAAAGGAGGTCTAGCCTTCTCTTTCATGGCTCCTACACTCTGGAATAGCCTTCCTGATAACGTCCGAGGCTCAGACACACTCTCCCAGTTCAAAACTAGATTAAAGACCTATCTGTTTAGTAAAGCATACACTCAATGCATCACCTAGCGGGTTCCACACAGGCTTCTGCATCTTGTTTATATACAATATGAACAGCAGCTACGCTAATTATTCTCTTTATTCTCTATTTTCACCTGGGGATACTCATCCCAAAGTCCTCAGATTATGCGGAGTCACTGATTGGATCCAAGACCAGCGACGAGATGATCCCAAGGATTACATATCCAGGACCAGGCCATATCCTGAGCTGCTGCTGCGCTGATGGTCGTGGGGAGTGGAGAACATGAGTCTGATTCCAGCGACGCTCCAGGGACAGACGAGTCTTCGCTGAGGCCATCTTCCAGCCTAAACCACGGCGACTGAAGCTCTGCACAAGACTTTTGGCCAGCGGAGAAATTAAAATGGTCGTGCCCAACTGAGTCTGGTTCTCTCAAGGTTTTTTTTCTTCACTCCCATCAGGTGAAGTTTTTTTTCCCTCTCCGCTGTCGCCACTGGCTTGCATGGTTCAGGATTGGTAGAGCTACGCATCGATGAATTTGCTCTTCAGTGTTTGATCTCTCAGTAATGATTAAATCACACTGAACTGAGCTGAACTGAACTAAACTGAACTTAAACACTAAAACCTGAACCACACTGTTCCAGTTACTATGACCATTTATGTGAAGCTGCTTTGACACAATCTACATTGTAAAAGCGCTATACAAATAAAGCTGAATTGAATTGAATTGAATTATTATTTACTGTATTATTTATTGAACAATAATATTTAATACACAAAGTAGCCATTACAAAAGTTGTCAAGCTGTTTAGTCAAAACTTAGTTTATTTATGCAGCTGCATTATAGGACCTTGATCTCTGTTCTGTTGACTTTTGATGTGTAAAATTCTTAAGCAGGATGTAAATTGGGATGTGGATGCATATTTATTTATTATTATTATTTTGTTCGGTTATGACTCAGAAGTCACTTGTCTCGGTGTAAGTTGTGTAAGGTTTCTGAGGGTGTTGATGTGTCGATGAGGGTGTTTATTTCAACATTAGCGAAAATGAAAGATCAGCACTTATATTGTGTGGATGGCATCGCTATTTATTTTATTTCATTTAATATCCACAATGCAATATTAAAGTCATGACAAGAAACGTACAGTGAAACAAACAGGTTATAAAGTTTTACAGAACTGGTCACACAAGCCTGGGGGAAAAAAATATTTGCTCGTAATTTGAGATTTATTTTCTCCACCTGCTCATGTAACTTTTGAGGATTTTGATTTTAATATTTCACCATACTTAGTGTTTGCAGCAACAACTTTATTCTCAGTAACGTTGAACAGAAATTTTATGTCTCATTTACTGGAGTGGGCTATGTGCCCAATAAAAGTCTACTGTCTGCGACCTTGTAAGAGATTTGAGTTACTATTTAAATAAGTCTGTGTATTAATTATGAGTGTTAATCCCAGAGTAAAGATAATATTGTCTATGTAAAACCGAGTCAGTGCTTGTGAAAGCAATGTAGTTTAACTCAAAACAAACTGACTCATGTGCAGGAAATCATCCCAGCACAAGTCTTGTTTATTTAACTTTAAGAATTAACTTAAAAGTTTATATGTTTGGGATATAAGGCCAGGTGTATTGAAAGATCATACACTGTAATTCAGTGGGTTTTTTTAGATGGAATGAGACAGTGCGCAGTTCCAGTAAACCAATCCCAGTCTAGTTTGGCATCTCAATTCATCAAACTGGAAAATCCAGCTTATGAGTATGACTGACCCACAAAACAACATGTGATCAAGTAACACACTGAGATTTTTCACAGCTGCGTAGCTGAACAACAGTGAAGCGAAAGTTCTGTGGTTGTTGCTGGCAAATAGACTTGTATGTAAATGAGCTGATCATTTGGTTGGTTATTCGGGTTTTTCCAAATATAGGTGTACAGGACACCCTCTCACCCCCCAAAAAGGACTGTATGTGCCAAAAATGTGAATTTCAATTCTTTAAAACGGCAGTCTACAAGTATCTCGGTCTCCATTACTTTTAGAAACCTGCTTTTAAAAGCAGAAGGATCATCTTGACATGGTCTTTACGGTGAAGCTCTTCAATGCTAATGAGTCTGATGTTTCAAGGAGTATGTGTAGCTGTGTGGATACTGTACACATTTAAAGAACAGATTAATTTTCTTGGAAATACTGTATAACCCAAAAGGATTTTCTTCGCAAAAAGTAATCTAAACAAGCAATATTTATGGCAGATATGTCATTTAAACATCGCTCTGTTATGTGTTAATATCTGATTAATTGCTTAGCACATCAAACCATGCAAATTGGTATTGGTATTTTTATGTTATTAGCTATATTTCTCAATTGGTTACTGTTAATGACATCAGCATTTCATAGTGCGTTTAGCGTTACGTGTAGAATTGCAACTTATCTACACAGTCTATCATTTCTAATTGTCATACAATCCAATATTCATATTGATACATTTATTTATTCCAGCTGCTGTGAGAAAAGGCTAATGACCCTTACACAGGGTCACAGTAGCCTTTATCTGTCTATATAAGTCCTTCTGTACAATAAGACAACAAAGATGGAAATCTGCCACTCAAATTGGAAAGCATTATCGCATGCTTATAAATCAGGCTAAGGTAACAAGATAGATTTGAAGACTGACTGGTTAGGTTCTTGCTCATTCTTTTGAATATTTTTTATTTAAATTACAGCATTAAGTATATTCTGGTAAACAAGATGTCTCTCTGAAACACCTGACAATACATCAAATATCAAACTAAAGCAATATTTGCATATTAAAATAATATCTATTTACTGTCTGATTGAAAAATATGTGTCAGTTTACAACATTTATATTTACAGTATATGCATTCAGCAGAATATGTTCTGCATTTGTCAACAAACTTCCCTATACCATCATGTGAGACTTTTAGAATTTTAATATTAGTCACTTTTAAGGTACTAGACCAATGATTCCAGTAGATTGCTCAGAGAAACCTCTAAACCTCTTTTGCCCTTGCACTTTACAATGAATAAAGAATTGTTTTCTGTTTCCCACATGAGTTTATACAGTATGTACATTTTATATGTGCACCACTTTGTCTGCTTCAGGATAATTAGTAGTTACAGTTGTTTCCTTTTGCGGTGAAAAAGACCCCAGTAGCAAAACCCAGTAGCCCGAGAGCAAGACCAACTCCACACTTATGGACCAATGCTGGGCTGCTTTACCTCCACATCTGCACACAACACACACAAACATTTGGGAAATTCACATGTTTTATTCGTGATTATATGTGAATGTTGAATAAACACTCACCCCATGTTCTGGTCTGAGGTTGCTGAAGGGCTTTGTGCTCCACTAAACAGCTATGAATGTCTCCTTCCTCAGGAATGAAGCTCAGTCAAGAAAAGACGTTCATTGTGCCATCTTTGTTAGGGTAATATCTGCTGATAGTTGATCCATCTGTCACATTCACATTGTTCTTGGTCCACAAGACTCTGACCGGTGGAGGGAAGAATCCAGTCACTTGACAGATCAGAGTGTTCTTGACATTTAATTGTGGATCACTTTTAGGATAAATTGAGCTCAAGGGAGGTTCTGGCAAAGATTAGATCAACCACCATTTTAAACATTTTACTAAAACATTTTTTGATAAGACTTTATAATGAGATTGTATTAGTTAATGTATTTACTAACACAAACAAATGATGAACAATATTTATAACAGTATTAATTCATCTTTTATAATGATAGTTAATGGTAATAAACATGCTTTTGTTACTTCTTGTTAACTCACGGTGCATTAACTGATATTAACAAACAAGAATCAGTTGCTGTATTTTTCCTAGCTCATGTTAGTAAGTATTGCAAACTTATCATAAAGTGTGACACATTTTTATCCCTATTTTTGTCTTACCAAGTACTTCAGGTGAACTGGCATACACCTCTCTAAGCACAGCCAGGAAGGCTTTGCCGTTGAATTATGCCCTTTTAGCATCCACATATAATGGCTGAAACACAGCTAGATCAGCAAATTCAGGTAATGTAATAACATCTTTTTGCTCTTTGAAGTCCACGTGTGCCAACTGTTCATCATCAAACTGGACAATAAAATCTTCCTGATCTGCGTCACCACTCGCCCCAATCAGTCCATATTTATGATAATCTAAAAACAAAAAAACAGGTTTACAGGTCTGAGTATTATTATTTTTAAGGAATAGCATTTTTAATATATTTACATGAAGCATACACGAGTATAATCTTATTTATCAACTTGATTATCTATGAAATCTCATTTAACAAGTGTGAAATCATTTAGGGTATCATTAGTTATGTGTTACTGAAAAGCAAGCAGTTTTAAATGGATAGTTCACCCCAAAATGAAACTTTACTCTCTATGTACTCACAGTAAAGTGGATCTAACCCTTAAACACAAAAGAAGACATTTTGTGGAAAGTTGAAAACCTGTGAGTTCTGACTTCCTTATTAGTGAAAACAAATACTACAGCAGTCAATGGTTACAGGATTTCAGCTATGTTCAAGATACCTTCTCTTGTGTCTAGCAGACGAAATAATCTCTTAAAGGATTGAAGCCACTTGAGGAAGAGTAAATGATGACAACCTTTTAAATTTGGGTGAACTAAGTCTTTAATGCTAAAACAATTTTATGCTTGGTTCACTCACCTTGAGCTCGGACACAAACACAGACGAGTGTGATTCTTAACAAGGCCTCCATTGTACATCACAAACAGTAAGTGCAGGAAGCAGAAAATGCCACTCGACGGCATGTCAGTAGAGTTTTGTTAGAAATGGTACAACCTACTATTTAAACAAGCTTTATTTGATGACTTAAATCATCCAATTGGCTTTGCAGCTATTCTGTGACAGAACAGTCTCCATGGGATATGGTCTGGGTTTAAGGCATGAGGAACTCTGTTTTAGTTCCTTTGTTAACCACTAGATGGTTCTGCTTCTTAACCACAAGTAACATTTTGGCCACTTTATCAGGTACAGTTAGTCAAACGCTTCCTATGTAAATATCTAATTAGCCAATTAAAATATGGAACCAGATTAGTCTCAAAAGAAATTCACACAAAAGACACGATGTGCACATGCATAGCCAAATTCACGTGCATAAAACCAAATTCACATGCGTAAAATATTTATTTATATTCACAAAAAAATTTCACGTGCACAAAATAAAAATACATTTTCATAAAATACGTTTCACAAATGCAAAACACCATTTGCAAATGTATAAGAGTGTATAAGAGTGCGCTTCTTTTGTGCAGACTGTTCCTCTCCAGCATGGCGAACGGAGAAAGCAGCAGTCACACTTTTTTTAAATTAATTTATTTATTTGACCATATCCTCACTCTTTTTATCGCAGAGTTAGCGCAGAGTTGGTTTTATTGAATACAGCTCTCATCTGATTGGCTGAAAGGTACGAGTAGTCCTGATTCTGGCAGGAAAGTCTCAAAAATACACACACTCATATCCAGGGGGAGTCGTGTGTGAAAGTGGATTTGCACATTCTCATTCAGGATGAACTCGCAAGTTTTAAACATTCAAAACTTTTTGTACACTCTGCAAATGGTGTTTTGCAGTTTTGAAACGTATTTTATGAAAATGTATTTTTATTTTGTGCACGTGAAATTTTTTTGTGAATAGAAATAAATATTTTACGCACGTGAATTTGGTTTTATGCACGTAAATTTGGCTACGCATGTGTACATCGTGTCTTTTGCATAAATTTCTTTTGAGACTAATCTGGTTCCATATTAAATGACAGTGGCTTCATGCATTTAAGTGACTTTGAACTTGGTTATTGGTGCCATATAGGGGCTAGTCTAAGAATTAAGGTCAAAAACAAAAATTTAAAAAATTAAGGGTTGTGTTTTCTTGACACACTTTAGTGCCAACAGAGCATTGTTTAAACACCACAGCCTACTGTACTTGAGTATTATTGCTAACCCTGTCCATTCCTGTATGATTTGCATGTTGCAAAATTCGGATAATCTCAGACTGGTTTCTAGAATTTGACAGTGCATTCAACTAACTCAAATGACCTCCACAGTCACCATATTTTAATCTAGTAGTGCACTGTGCTCAAACAAGAGATTCACATTGTTTCAGATTTTCAGTTTCCATTAAAAAAGAAATCACACACAAAAAAACTTTAAATCTACAGTACTTTAAAACAATTAAGACAGTTCAGAATGCAAAAGTGCATACACTTTATACCATCTAAGAGCAGCCTTTCTTTCAGTATGCTGTTAAATTAAAGCTGTGGTTTATCAGTGTTTGGTGCCACAACATGGAACTTCATAGTCAGCAACGGCACACATTTGGTTGTTCAAAGACTGCTATGGTAAGTATGCTTCAAAAGAGTGCAAAAAAGGCACTTTGCCTGGATAAACTTTTAGGCAACACAAACCTGTTGAAGTGGTTTTCTTAGGACAAATTAAGCCAGTGCACCTCCATGACAAATCCAAAAATTATCCAAAATGTTAGAACATGCAAATGAATTTCTGTTAATGCATTGTCCTGCATTGTCTGAAATCACTGTACATGAGCTCGGTGAAACATCAGTTTTTTTCTCTATATTTGCAATTGTTATTTATGTTCTCTTTTTTTTTTTTTTTTTTTTTGTCTGCACTATGTTTGTACTTTGTACATTTTGTACTCTCAGTACTGGAAGCTTCTATCACTAAAGCAAATTCCCAGTGTGCAATAAACCTCTTTATAATTCTTTCTGATTCAATATGATAAAACCGATTCATGCTGCATCATCAACACTCTGCAATGTAGGTCCTGATGTTGACATATCACATAAGAATGGCTGATAAGAAGATCGATACCTCACTTTGTTGCTAATATTTTGTGGGCCAAATAGGCTCTGGTTATAGGTGGGTGATCATAATGTTAATGTCATAAATAAGGGTGATCTAACTGCTACTTTGCATCTGAGCTTCTTTTTAATCCCTTCCTCATTTGTGTCTTTAGGGAAAGAATGAATAGAGCAGAAAAAAAATTCAGACGAACTTCCTCATGTATCGTAGTATAAACATGAGTATTCTATTGTCTGTGAGGCTTAATATCAGCTGACTTCTATATTGTACAGTATATCAGGGGTTCCCAAAATCTCAGTTCAACGGTCTGAATCACAATTTATCAATTTCAACTTGATTCAGAACAACTGTTCATAACAAAATGTAGTTTTAATAACATGCATAAGTAAATTAAATTGACCACCCTGACATCTTTGCACATTCAATTGCTCATTGCGGTGGAGAGTATGGCCCAGTCATGGCAGACGTCATACTGTATGCTGACTGGATATCATGACAAAAGTATGCAACAACAGCTTCTTCTGCAAGGTATCAGCTTGGAAAACTGTTTCCAGGTCCACGCTGCTAATCCGTTGAATTGAGAAAATATTTATTTATGACCCCTTTTTAGTCATATCACACATTAAAGTGATTTTTCAAATAAAAAGCATGGTGTACACAACAGTCTCTGCACTTGCTGCATCAGACATCAATCGTTTAACAATTTTAAAAAAATTAATCACTTTCTGGCCATCTGATAGTAGGCCTGGTTATATATATATATATATATATATATATATATATATATATATATATATATATATATATATATATATATATATATATATATATATATATATATATATATATATATATATATATATATATATATATATATATATATATATATCGAGATCCTGATTTTCAAAAGTGTTACAGCGATTTCTAAAGCGCTTGGATCACATGACGTCAGAGTTAACAAGCGGATTGCACATTCAAAATGGTGACCCTTTGCATTACGTTGTCACCAGCTCTATTAAACTCAGTCCACAGTCCGATTGGTTCTTTGCTGGAGTTTCTCCAAAAGTGATGGCTTTACATTAGCGATGTGCTGCCAAATATGTTGCACTTGCTAAAATTCATTTCTGCACATCAAATCAAAAAACACTGAATTTATTTCATTTATTTCATTGTTCATTTAAAAATTAGTAAATAAAACATTTTTGGTGGTACATCGTACAATAATAGAGCCACTGTGCTTTATCTTCATAATATAGACATCCTGTTGAGATAACTGATCTGTCAGTTTATCCTTACGGAGATGTCTATGAGCACATATACCATATTAGATAGAGATATTATGAATCGTCATACATAAAACAAAGATTATTTAGACTAAATCCTTATGAAAGATAATGTGTGATGATCAAATGTGATTGTAAAACTAACCAGAGGAGAAAGTCTCTTTTTCAATAAAAGATCAATAAAATTGACTGATTTTTCAATCAATCAATCAATAAAAGTTGCAGTTGAGATCTTAAAGGTCTTTACAGATCTTACAGAGAGGATTAGTGTTTTTCACATGCAGGTACACAGTCTGTGCTTATCCACTGCACATCTTCATTTACTCGCTGAGGGTCTGCAGAGGTTCAGAGCATCCGATGTATTGACTTCCAGCTGATGTGTTGCCTACTAGTAAATAAGGACATGAACATGGGATTTCACTACATAAAAAAATAGAAAAAGCATGAAATCTCTAGTGCTTTATCATAATTGTTTTAAGTGTGTGTATCTGCAAACTAACCTGTGTGTTTTCTTTTATAGTAGATCAGTCCTCCGGCAGCCATTATGGCCCCCAGAACTATTCCTGCAGCCCCAGTTATTATCTTATTCTTGTTTGACTCTGTCAAAAATGAATCTGAAAAAATATATATATATATATATTTATATAAAATAAATAATAATAATAAAATTATATATATACATATATATATATATATATATATATATGTAAATGTGAGTAAATGCAAAACTATTCTTCTTTTGCTATGCAGTGCACAGTTTTGTCAAATTCATTATGCTTGAAGTATGCACTGAGGTAAATGCACTATTCATAATAAAGGGAACAAGCATGTGGTAGAAATTACAGTTTGGTCTCTGTGGTCATTTCTCTCAGTTTGTTTTATAGTACCATAATTGTGTTCTCACCCCAGTAATAGATCATGGGTTTATGGGAGCTCGCGTGTTCCACCACACAGGAGATCTTCTCCCCAGGTTGAGGAAAATATTCTAGGTGAGAGTGAATTTGGTAGTACCAGTCTCCGTCAGCCATCACCTTAGTGGACATCACATCAGCTGTAACCACTTTATCATCTCTCATCCACGTCAGTTTGATGTGCTTGGGGTAAAAGTTATAGGCACTGCAGCTCAACAGTGCTGGCCTTTTACCACTGGCCTCCCTTAATGACCGCACAAAGACTTCTGGTTTTACTGTAGACATAATCATGCTCATTCTGAGTTTCATGCATGTTGTAAACACTAACAGTAAGTGTTCAATGCATCTTACCTGTTTTTGCTACAAGAGGGAAATATGTCTCCCCAAAGAGCTTGCAGTCTGCAATATTTTTCTCTACTTGTTCGTGTAGCCATTTAGGCTGTTTATTTAAATCATTTGCCCATTTCATTGCATATTCAGTGTAAGCAACGGCTTTATTCTCTGTACTGTTGAATCTCAGCAATTCGGTTGTGTCAAAATAGATAGAGTATGTAACCTCTACATTTTGTAGAGAACCAAGCATATGGCAGGTAAACTGGACAAATCCATAATGTCCATGAGCTGGAAAAAAAGGTTGATAAATCATTAGACAATTCAGTAATTATACATGTTCTGATGGGTTGACAGTATAAATAATCATATTTCTAGCATAAATACTTTCTTATAGAAAACAATTAAAACAAATATAAATAAATATAAAAAATAATTAAAACAAAAATTGGGACGTTTTTATCAAAAGCTTTTAAAAAGAATTTGCTTTTAATCCTTTTTAAAAAATTGACTGACAAAAGATGCAAATGTTTCACTGACTAAATAAACTGTATTCTGGAAATGTGAACAAGCTTTGATTTTGATCAAAACACATCATAAATTTTGACATCATAAATTTCATTTATTTGGGGAGACAAAGATACTAATTGTTAATGTGTTATAAGCAAGACAGACTTCAGATCCTCATCAGTTGTCGTTGTTGCCTGAATCTCCTTCTCATAATAAGTCACACATTTTAGGAAAGTCAAACAGTCAGTGTGTACCAAGCACACTGTTGTGCAGATACAGAATGAGACTTGATCTAATAACCATAGACCTCTAATAAAAGCTGTTATCATGACAGCAGTTTATGTCTCTTTTCCATCTTAATATATGCCTCAATGTTAACGGTACCTGATATTTGTTAGTCCCTCTATACCATTTTGTTCTGCTACTCCCCAAACCATCATTTAAGATGTTGAATTTTCAGTTTAAAAACCATTTATTCCAGCTACAAGTATCAAGAACATTCACTTGAGGTTTCATCTCAACATCTGTCACAAAATTATAAAACGATCTAGCTTTACTTGCAAAGATTGATATGCGCGTTGTATAGACAAACATTAAACTCTCATATTTCACCTGTTTCAATAATGTAGTATATTTTATGTTTTAGTCCTGTTCCATGTTATTGGACAGTGTTGCAACCATCAACATCAAACTTTGTATTTACAAAATACATTAACACATTTTCTTGATTTTATTGCCATTTTCAAAAACAAGGCAACCTTTTGGGAACTGTTGTTAAATTATAATTATTATTGTATTAAAACATCAGATCTTACCTGTTTCAAGCAGAAAAGGCAACAGCAAGGCCAAGCGTATCACAAGAACATTGAACATTGTTATTCAGTGTTGTTATAAGAGGTGGAATGAGTGCAATTACAGTAAATGCCATGGCTAATGCCAGCCCCGTTTGACATCATAACACGTCAAACAGGAATATCAAGCTTTTCTGAATGACCCAAAACAACTACATGTGTCTAATAAATGAAGTGAAACTTTTATGGGGATTTGCTAGAAAAATGCCATTGTTTATGAATGAATTGTTCATGCATTCACTTGACTTTTTTTTGTTACTTTGGGTTTTCCATATGCAGAAATACAGGTCAGCTTCTTGCCCAAAAAAATGACTCTCACAGAAATATATATGTCTAACATATAGAGAATCATTATATCTTTGCACTAATACTTTCATCTGCTGATTTTTGCTGATTTTGTCAGATTTTATTATTATTATCTGCATTATGAACAAGCCTTTATGTTATGCATAATAAAAAAAATAATAATAAAAAATATATATATACATATATATATATATATATATATATATTATTTATTTTTTTTTTTTTTAAATCCCCAAATTACTAAATCTGTTCTTCTGGAGCTGTTTTACTGTAAATAAACAGTTAAACGATCAGTAATATGTTTTATTGCTATTATTTACAAAATGATAAACAAATAGCTTACATTAGCTAACAAATAAATTAGCAAACTGTTTAGCTTTTTAAAATGAAAAGCTATTATAAAGAAACAGAATCAAGTAATCAAATCACACTAATCTTTTCTTCACTGTATAACCTACATATTCTGATTGAAGAGCAGTAGATAAACCTTATTTATTTGGATCTTTTGTTTGATTACATTCATTAACAAGTGTCACTTTAAAACGGCACACATCTAACATTATAAATGAAAGCATTTAATTGCTTTCCAAACAATTTATGCCAGGGCCGGAGTGGGAATCCTTTTTAGCTCTGGAGTTTCAAGCATTAGACCGGCCAGACTCAGTCGACGACTATATTAAAATAACGTTATTTCCAATTCAGTTTCAAATGACACTAACACGTCTTTTTCAAGGACACAGCTGCTTTAGAACTTCAAATGTTTTTCATAAATATGAAAACAATAATTCTTTATAAATATCCAATCCTTTGTAACAGTCGTCTCACACACACACACAAAAAAAATATATGTAAGTAACCCAAACAGTATTACATAATACTGCCGGGAAGTGCAAAACAACATTACAAAGTTTGAAACACTTATACAAAGCTCGAGACAAATTTACATTTTGAATAACATTTTTCAGACACAATTACATAGCAAAAACTATTTTACCAAGGACAAAACAAATTTACATTTTAGAAAACAAATAACAAGACGCTAAACACTTTTACAAATCCCGAAACAAATTTATATGTACATTCTACGTCACTTCCATTGTGTGGTACATTCCCTTTCCGTAAGAAATCTGTAATTGTAAATTTGTTTCGGAATTTGTAAAAGTGTTTTGCGTCTTGTTAATTTGTTTTCTAAAATGTAAATTTGTTTTGTCCTTGGTAAAATAGTTTTTCCTATGTAATTGTGTCTGATGATAGGTAAAAATGTTGTTTCAAAATGTAAATTTGTCTCGAGCTTTGTAAAAGTGTTTCAAACTTTGTAATGTTGTTTTGCACTTCCCGGCCACCGTAGGTGACAGCACCTGTAACGAAAAGGAAGAGAATCTCGCTGCTTTTATATTCATTTCAAAGTGTTTTCATGCCTAAATAAAACGAAAGCACAGAACAGACTCACATTTAAGAGCAAGAGGCGGCCCCTGGTGGTTCGGCGGTATGGGTTGTGTATAGGGAGGATCGGCTCTTTAATGTTTGTTGCCACCCTTCAGAGAAAGACTAAAAAACGTGAGAAACACAGGAAAAACGGGAGGGTTGACAGGTATGAACTATATTCTTTTTATAAAAATATTGAACCAGCAATATAAAACAAAATGAACCCTTTCGCACGTACGATCCAGAGATGTCCACATTTCAGCTTGTTTCAGGGCGAAAAACAGACACTGAGATCCAGTCTCAATCTGCATGTGCTGCAGCAGTGTGCCTTTGAGACACAGAATGAATGTGCTTGAGCCTTCCTGCAGTAGCTACAGATCTGTGACCTGTTGATAATGTATATGGCTCATCAGGAAGAAGAGAAACAGATGATGATGACCACTGACTGTTGAGCATCTGAAGTTTTGTATTACAGCAGAATATAGGCAAAACACTCACTCGCCGGCTATTCTTTGGCTAAGTCTCTGATTTATAAGGGGTCGCCACAATCGAATTCTCCTCCAATAATTCAAGAGGGGTCTGGATGCAGACTAATGCTCACACCAAACTCAACCCCTACCCCTCACAGTGACGTTACTAGCTCCATTGAATGCATTGCGTCTGACTTTGCTAGTATGCAGTCTCTTGCAAATCCATGTCTGCATCCAGATACTATTGGATTACTCTAGCATATATTTTATGCACTGGACGCCATTCCAGCCACGACCCAGAACTGAGTTTGTTTGTCACATTATATATTAAAGACACGGAGAAGCATTTTTCTAAATTGGTGAATTTCTGCTGTTAGGATTAGTTATTATTGATGCTAAGCCAGGGGTGGCACAGTGGTTCAGGGGTTAGCACTGTTGCCCTTATAGCAAGAAGGTTGCTGGTTCGAGTCCTAACTGGGCCAGTTAGCATTTCTTTGTGGAGTTTGCACGTTTTCTCGGTGTTCACGTGGGTTTCCTCCGGCTGCTCTGATTGCTTGGTGAAGTGTGTGTGAATGGGTATTTCCCAAATACTGGGTTGCAGCTGGATGGGCATCCGCTGTGTCAAACATTTGCTGGAAAAATTGTCTTATAGTCATTATGCTGTGGAAACCCCTGATAAATAAGGAACTAAGCTGTAGGAAAAAGAATGAATGGTGCTCAGCCATGCGTTTCATAATTATCAGTGCTGATGGAATTTTTTAAAGCGTCATATTCTGCTGGAAAAGTTTCATTTTAATGGTAATACCCCATGAGCTGAGATCTTATAAGTAACTTCACAAGCTGGTCATAGTCTACTCCAATGACATGCTCATCTACTTGCAGAACCTGGCAAAACATAAAAATCTTATTTTATCTTAATAAAAATTTTATTATTCATGTACAATTCTACAATTATAACGTCATTATAACTCTGTTATTGGGCTTCATCAGGCAGAGAATCTTTTGGACTCAAAATGTGTTTTTGATTATCAGAGCCAATACATATCACACATTTCTACTAAACCGGTCTAAATTCACTGTAAACCACGATTACGCAGACATTGTACACACAGATCAAACACAAAGATCATCTAAAGCTTGAACTTTGCACTGCAGCAACCTGCGAAACTTGATGCATGAACATGACCCTGCGTTTCCGGTCTGACGCATTCGCGTGCGTATGAATGGAAGTCTATGGGGAGAAAAGTCAAGTGTGGCTGCAGTTGTATCCTGCCCTCAGTGTGTCACTACAACATTCTAAAAATAAAACCCGTTACATATCGTTATACAATAATTACCCTAACCTGCCTAGTTAACCTAATTAACCTAGTTAAGCCTTGAAATGTCACTTTAAGCTGTATAGAAGTGTGATACAGTTTAAAGATACAGATTGTTGAAAAATATCTAGTAAAATATTATTTACTGTCATCATGGCAAAGATAAAATAAATCAGTTATTAGAAATGAGTTATCAAAACTATTATGATTGGAAATGTGTTGAAAAAATCTTCTCTCCTTAAACAGAAATTGGGGAAAAAATAAACAGGGGGTCTAATAATTCAGGGGGGCTTCAACTATATGTATAATATAAAAAACACAAATTAATTATTTTATTTATTAATTTATTTAACAATCCATCAATCAATCAATAACACATGCTGTTCGCTAAAGGTTCAAAACATCAGCGCTCGCATAGAGAACAGCCACAAGTTCTGCACATTCTATCTCCACTTGCAAGTCTAAACCCTCCCTGTCCAGAAGTGAGCACTGCCTCTGTACCATCCCAGCAAGCATTTATGTTATGTTTAAAAATAAGTCTAATAGACAGCTTGATTTTGGCTAAAACAAGGCTTAATTTGGGATGTAATTGAAAGTTTAATAAACTTCTAAGAAAAGCCCAAAACTAAAATAGTCATCAAATACACAGTGAATGACTACACATGTCAGCCTGTCTAATCTGTGTATTGCACTTACACATTAAAAAGGGAGAGAAATACTTGTCACTCTTTGATTAATTATTTCCTCTTTTATCTTTTATTATACTAACAATTATATTCCCCTGTATAACTGCATTATAGGCTTCATCAGGCTGTAAATCTTTTGGACTCTTAAAATGTGTTTTTGATGATCAGAGACAATAAATATCACACACTCCTAAATTCACTGTAACCATTGCCACAATTACACGCTGCAGATCATCTGAGTCTAATATAGAATCACTGAGTCAAATAGACAAACAGTGCTTCATTGTCAGCATTTCACATTTCATTTTACAAATTGTCAAATTATGTTAAAAATTGTAAGGATGGCTAAATATTTCCATAATATCAGACCCCAAGAAATGTCTGTGAATTTCATAAGGCAAGACCATGAGAATTGTCATGCAATTAAACAATAAGCTATTAATCTGGGAAGAACATTAGGAAACCAGTTGTTCAACTGTCTCAGTCACCCACCCTGAGCCTGAGCACGTTTGCCCTCAACTTTACCTTCTTTAGCAGAGCAGCTCAATGACACTCCTTCACGCAGAATGGCCAACTTCTCAATATTGTGGATCTATACTTTTTCTTGGTATCATTTTAAAGGTCTTTGTGTGATTGGTAAAGTGGTCTCACATTCACAGTAATATTTCATAATTTTATAAGATGCTCTATTACAGGGGGAATGGTCTTCAGATCAACTCATGACCAGTCTTTGTGAAGCTTTTATTCTCTTGAATTTATGGTTGCTTGTTCTTGTCACGAAGCAGACGCTGAGAACAGACGTGCAGTTCCAAATGCAGTTTAATAATCGAGGTTGTAC